TCCGTTATCTACTCTCATTGAACAGTATAAGTAAACAAATGAAATACTAAGTTGACATATAACGAAACATAACTTTTATTGATCACAAATATTTCGGTCGCACCTGTTTTAAATTGTGTATTGATTGTTGAGTAGGGGTAGGCACTATTTAAGGTGAGAGGCTCTAGTTCTGCTTATGTAAACGATAAAGATGTAAGTGTAACTGATTGCCTTACAGTATACGATCAAGCTAACGTAATAATATTACGTACATTTTAACCAAAAATAATAATAATAATATGTCGGTCTTATATAGCGCTTCATGCACCAAGCCTCTAAGCGCTTCACATTACTATCCCGGTCATTGGATCAAAAAACACGGAACACATACTCACATACATAAGTATACAAATAAATAAGATACTTAATTAGGCCATTTATTAAAATTAAGTTCTCTGAAGGTTAACTATAGAATTTATGCAATGCAATTAACGTATTATAGGTTGTAGAAACTGTAGTAAAAACCTTTTTGTTTGATATTCAAATTAGTCTTAGTGAAACAACATAATAGTTCAAATGTTATATGAAGTAGTGGGTTGGCCCAGGGTCCCACCCTCCTAAATTTTTGAAAATTATTCGCTGCAGTCAAATCCCAGGTCCCACCTCCCACCCACCATCGACTGAAAGCTATATATGCTATCTAGAAGTTGCTCTAGCTGTGGTGTCATTTCAGCAGTTTCCTGATTTTTGTAGTTTTAAGTGTCTGTGCCAATGAATATTCATTATCATTACATCATTTTGACGAGACCATGGTCCTGTGAATCATACAAATGAGTCAACTAGCAAAGAGCCTGTAATAAAAAAAATTTATAAGATAAGATAAGACACACTTTAGTGCTCCAAGTAGGAAATTCAGTTCTCGCATTAAAATACAATTGACAATTGAACAAATATAATAAAATATAATAATTATAATGTAAAAGAGATATCAAACAGCGACCATTAAAACATTAAAAGTCACCAAAACATTAGATTTAAATTTTAACCAACAAATATTAAGACTTACAATAATTTAAAAAAATGGTAGATACACTTTATTGCTCCAAGTAGGAAATTCAGTTCTCGCATTAAAATACATTTTACATTTCAGCAATTTCCTGATTTTGTAGTTTCAAGTGTCTGTTGTAATGAGACCATGGTCTGGTGAATTATACAAATGGGTCAACTGGCAAAGAGCCTGTAATTAAAAAAAATAATATTATTAGATTTAAATTTTACCAACAAATATTAAGACTTACATTAATATAAATGGTTTAAAAGTAAATTTGTAATACTAATTACTCTTACTATGGTGTCATTTTAGCAGTATGATTATAATACGCCACAACCAACCATACAAATTTGTCTCGGTTCTTTTTGTTACTGATTGTCTTAAGTGAGTATAGTATGATACAACTTCCAAAGTGCTATATAAATAAAAAATAAAGAATAAACCATACTGGATTCTTTGGAGTTTGTATCATGCTACTGTTGTTAAATTACCAATACTCTAGTACTAAAAAAGTAGTTTAAAAAAAATACTTCTTTAATATATACTTTTTTTTAATGTATGGCCTCTCAAATCAATTAAATAACACCTGTAAATGCTTAGAATGCTGGACCCCCACCGGGGTTTTGGCCCTAGACCCCCCGGGGTCCCTTGGCGGCCCCTGGCCCCAGCCAATGGTGCTCGCAAGTGCCCTTTTAGTATCAAAAAGAACCCCCCTACCAAAATCCTGGCTACGGGCTTGTAACTCCTTATGTTTTCTCTTAAGAAATATAGCTGGAGTGACACGTCGCTGTCAGTTTTTGTCTTCAAATATCCATCCTGGGTAAAAAATAAATCCATCCTGGGTAAAAAAATAATGGGGCGTACCTGGTTTAAGTCGCAAGTCTGTGATTTTACAGCGACCCTTGCTTTAACCTATGGTCCCCTTGGGTACCCAAAAAGAACTGAAAAGTACAGAACATGTTCTATTTACTTAAAAAATTTTGATGACATCTGGAAATCACTAGCCATTCATCAGCCAATCACAAGGCAGAATGTATAGACCTTTGGAAAATGGCAGGGACCTGCATGGATAGATCATGTATCAGTAGACCTTTACTGTATTTAGATTGTCTCTAAAATTCATGAGTTAACAAATCATTTATCAAACAATTTAATAGTGTGGCTAGGGAATATTAAGTGTGTACATACTGCTGTCAAAATTAAAGACTTAACCAAATATTTGAATAATTTGACCGTGTGACTCCAGCTTTAGTGTGTGCCAATCATAGATAACAACTATTTAGGTTTACAAATCAGTCAACGTTATCGTTTTAATGTATGAATATAAGCAAGTATACTTCATAATTTTAGACAAATAAACTAATAAGCAAGTATACCTAAACAAGTCTGTAGTAGCGCGATGTTCCAATGGATGCTATGCTTAAATCCGTAGTGCGCACGTAGTACTACGCTTATAAAGCGTGTAGCGTTACCTAGCTACAGTCTCCTAGTTACTGGTATTTTCTGAAAAACAAAACAGAAAAAAACTTGTACAGTCAAGAAGCTGTGCTTGAATCTTAGCGCGTAGTGCGCACGTAGTACGCTTATGAAGCGTGTAACGTTTCTTAGCTACAATTTCCTAGTTACTGGTGTTTCTGAAAGTTAAACGGTTAAGAACGATGCTTATAATACATGCTTATAATAATACCTCCATGCTTATACAACAGATTGGTGAAGTTGTAACGACTTGAAATCAGAGGTTCACTAGTACACTAGGTAACTACTGATGTTTCCTTATAAGAACTGTTAGTGTGTGTCATTCATAGATAACAACTATTTAGGTTTTAAATATCAGTGAACTTTTATCGTTATAGTTGTATGAATGTGAGCAAATTTCTTAAATATAAAAAACCCCTGCAGACAGTCTGTCTACCTCTCTTAGCTTCAAATAAACAAACCACAAGATGCTTCCTCAAAATAGTACCGTATCCAAGAACATTGTTATATCACGTTTGTTCTATGATACGACCGCTCTTGCTTCCTTCTCAACGAAGTTATGTGAGCACTAAAGTGTGGTATAAGTGTTAAACAATTGTATCAATTCGTCGGCATAAATTGGTAGTGATTGCTTCATTGTTCAAATAAATGTATCGCTATCATTTGCCATTCACAGTTGTGTTACCATGATATCGGTTGATTAAAATGTATCAACCAGTCACACTACACGCGCTTCATTCTTTATAGTCTTCGATAGGGCTTAAATTTTCGGATAGTTTTCTAATATTTTCATGTTGATAGGATCACCAACACAGGATGTCAGCGACACGCGTTGTACTTCCCCGACTGGCGGAATTCAACAGTAACAAAAAAAGTACAGATACCAATGATTCGTCTGTATCCAGCCTACACCGTCTTAATACTGGAAACCTATCAGTGACACCAGCCATAATCAAACGGGTTACTAGGGTAAGATGTCGTTTTGAATAATAATAATAATAATAATAATAATAATAATAATAATAATAATAATAATAATAATAATAAGAGTACGTTTTGTATAAATATTTAACATAAAAATAACGCTAAAAAGAAAAGATCGACGTTTCGACTCCATCATGGTGTCATTTTCAAGATCAAATGATGAAGTAAAAAATATACAGCAACTATAAAAAACTTTTTTCTATTGATTATAGTTGCTGTATATTTTTTACTTCATCATTTGATCTTGAAAATGACACCATGAAGAAGTCGAAACGTTATTTTTATGTTAAATAATAATAATAATGATAATAATAATAATAATAATAATAATAATAATAATAATAATAATAATAATAAATAATATTTCGATACGAGTTTGCGTCAGAAAAATATCACAGGAGTCATGTTTTGCTCTACCTGACGTGTTATCTTACCGAATAGGTGTACTTGCAAAAATGTTGTCACAAGTATTCGGGGACGTGAGTATTCGGTACAATAACACGTCAGGTAGGCAAAACATCACTCCAATAATAATAATAATAATAATAATAATAATAATAATAATAACAATAAATAACAATAACAACTAGACTTACTATGTCTGTTTGAACAACAGAACATAGGGCTTTCCCCAATGAAGTTGAAATTGCAACAAAAAGAAAAGTCGTTAAAAGTCATAAAGTAAAGTGAGGATTCGGTACAATTACACGTCAGGTATGCAAAACACCACTTCTATTTTCCCCATCGCTTTAATGAAAAATGAAGTAGAAATTGCAACAAAAAGCAAAGTCGTTAAAAGGTATAAAATAAAAAATAAAAACACGGAAAACCAATATAATATTAATGAAGTGGAAAAAATGAAGTGGGGGAAAAATGAAAATATAAAATAGAAAACACACGGAAAACCAATATAATTTTAATAAAGTAGAAATAAATGAAGTGGCGGAAAAAAAACCCGAAACCCAAGTTCACTGCAACGTTATTATTGAGACTTCAACTGCGGCTGCAATGGTAACAGCGAGGTACACCGTGACTCATAACCATTGCAAGCCAAGAGCCGTCCCTGAATAGGAAAGTGTATTTTTCATTCATAGTGATTCAATGACTGAAAGTAAAATTGCTCATACATATCACGATAGTTTTGAGTTTAAACTATAGCTGTAACTGGTTTAAGCGCTTTTGAAAACGCAAATTGCGTTTAAATAATTTAATCAACTGTCAACAAAAATCTTTAAATGGTCACTATGTCCACACCCTACTGCGGATCGTCACCAAAATTGGATCATTTCTTCATTTCACCATGAAAAACTATTTTGCAAAGTGTCATTTTTATCCATCTATAACTGGGACGTAAGAAATTTAAATGGCCCTCAAATTTACACCCTAACCTGTATCGTCTCCTACACATCATACATCATCTTCTTTGTAACTTGGGTTAAACTAACCCGAAAGTTTCATTCGGATTAGTTGACCCATTTTTTAAATATCTGGTCTGCGACGTTTTCCTTTAAATGGTCCTCATATTCACACTCTACGCCAGATCATCACAAAAATTCAGTCAGTCATCTATTTCTTTACTGGACCTTTACAAACTATTATAGAAAGTTTCATTTACACTCATTGAAAACTTTTTATAGATATTTACGTCTGGGATCTTAAATATGTAAATGACCCTCCAGTTTACACCCTTGACTGATTTGTCGCCAACACATAATACTATCTTCCTTGTAACTTGGTTAAACTTTTTCCAAAATGTTTCATTTAGATCAGTTGGTCCGTTTTCGAATCGTGGTCTGGGACGTTTTCCTTTCAATGGTCCTCAGATCTACACCCTACTCCGGATCGTCACAAAAAATTAATCATTTCTTTACTCGACCTTGACAAACTGTTATACCATAGAGAAAATAGAACTATTTTCTCTATGGTTATACAAGGTTTAAATTATACTCATTGGTTTTTTTAAAGCGATATTTAGGTCTGGGCCCTCAAAAATTGAAATGACCCTCCAATTTACATCCTCGACTGATTCGTCACCAGCACATAATAATTTCTTCCTTGTAACTTGGTTAAACTTTTTCCGAATGTTTCATTCAGATCAGTTGATCCGTTTTCGAAATATGTGGTCTGGGACGTTTTCCGTTAAATAGTCCCCAGATCCACACCATACTGCAGATCGTAACAAAAATTTAATCATTTTTTTACAAGACCTTTACAATGTATTATAGAATGTTTCATCGAGACCCATTGGGATTTTTAAAAAGATATATTTAGGTCTTGATCATCAAAAATTGAAAAGCTCCTCAAATTTACACCCTTCACTAGATCGTCAATAACACATAAAAATGTCTTCCTTGTAACTTGATTAAACTTTCCCGTAAGTTTTATTCACCTCAAATGACCGGTTTTTGAAATATCCGGTGTAGACTGTTTGACCTTAAATCAGTTTAATTGGTCCTCACACGCACACCCAACCATAGATTGACACTGAATATTAGGAGGCACATCCTTAATGGCCTATGGTTCGGCAAAGCACGGAAAAATTCTAAGCACGGGAACAGTGCAAACAGAAAGGAAAAATATATGCAAGAAAAAAGGGGAAAAAATCAGAACAAAAACTATTGCTTTTCCCAGTACTGCTGAGAAAAGCCAATAACAATAATATTAACAATAATTATAATAATAATAATAATAATAATAATAATAATAATAATAATAATAATAATAATAATAATAATAATAATAATTGTATTTATTTATTTTATTTATAACTTATTTAGCCAGGATATAACATTTCAGTAATATACTTATAGGGCATATATAATAATAATATGTAATAATAATAATAATAATAATACAAATAATAATAATAATTATTATTATTATTCATTTGTTTACAAACATATTTTACATGGATAACATTTTCATAAAACAAAGTTCTAACAAATGATCCATGAATTAAATAACCGGTATAAAGCAAACAATTTACAAATAACAAGAATAAATATTTTTGAATTTTCTTTACAATATTTGAATGAATTTAAACAAATTTGAAATACATTATAATTGAACTTGAAAATACATAGCAAAATAAAATTATCTTACGAAAAGTATGGTTTAATTTTAAATTTCAACATGAAGTTTATACAGTATATATTTTAATTCATAAAAGGACAAATATGAACAAAAATGAAATAACACAAAAAAAAAAAAATAAGAAAAACAGTAGTTAAGAGTCTCAAAATGATTACTTCTTAGTTGATTTCACTTAAAACCGCTATATTCGAGATATTTTAGCTTATTTGTAAAAGCCATTCTTTTAATTTCTTTTGTGTTGTTGCTTATTCATCTTGTATGTCTTTATTCATAGAATAATGCAAGGGGTATCAAAATATTTATACGTTTATCTTATTGATTTTAGTGTCACATGATCCGGCCTCCAAAAATGGTGACGGAAAGTAATTTTAGTTCTCCCAATAATTCAATGCTTGATCTAGCGCTCAGTGGGACAACACAAGAAAAGAATCTCCACTTTCCAAAAATCACGGAGGATCGGATCGACCCAATAGATTGTGCACAACAAGCTCCACCTCCAGTGACGCGTCTGCTAAAACCCTCCAAACACAGGGTACGTATAGATTAAAATAGAATAATAGATACATATAAGTGGTTAAATATTCGAACACTTAACATTTTGGTTCTAATCCATATAGCTTTACCGCTGTGTCCCATGTTTCAACGTAGATAAGTTGTATATTGTGGTGATAATAATTATGATGATGAAGGTGATGATGATGATGTTGATAGATACTAAAATGGTAATGCTACCGACACAGATGATGAGGGTGAATTATAATGATGATGGTGATGATAATGATGACGATGACTATAATTATGGTAATGACGACGAAAATGACGATGCCTGGTGCAGTGATCCTAACATATTTTTACTTTTTTAGTTGCATTGGAACATTGACAAATGATACATGAAAAAATCATCACCTTTGTATTCTTATGTGTTAAATGTATGCATGCGGCCGGTTGAATAAATTCAACTAAAAACTTAACAGTGATTTGTCGTAGGCCTTTTGTCGATGGAAAACTGTCATATATTGTTACATGTGATTCTATCTGAAGAGTACTAAATGTTATTTGCATGGTATAGCCTACTGCTGATTCTTCAACATTTGCCCATATCAGTGTCGGATTCAAGGGGGGGGGGGGGTGGCCGAACCAACCCAGGCCACCCTAAATTTTTCAAAATTATAAACAAATGGAGAAAAAAAGGGGTTAGATTATAATCGAATTTGGTCTGAGAGTGCCATTTCCGGCCATCTAGAGGTGCCAAATTTTTTTTTTACCTCAGCCCCAAACCATGGTGAGGCTGAGGTGGTCATGTCTCCACCATCTACAAAAGTCTCTCCATGGGCCCCTCTATTTCGAATTCATGGATCCACCACTGCATATCAAATCATTCAATTTTTATCCACAAATAATAAATAATATAAATAATTCTGGATTTATATAGCGCCTCATGTTGACACAACCTCGAGACGCTTAACAACAACAGAAAAGAAAAAAAAATGCAAATGTACCAACAAATTATTATTATTATCAAATATTTGGTTTTAGTTTAATTTATTAAGTTCAAATGATTGGTTTGATGATTATCAATAAATGTTATTATTACAATGCTTTGGTAATTAGAATCATTTCAAGGCCTGTTCATCCCAAAGCCTTTCATTTTTCCCCTTTTGCTTCTTGTCTTTCTTCCTTTCCATTCAAATGTTCCTGATCTATACTTTTCTTGTCCTTTCTTATGTTTCCTTATCTTATCTTCACATTCCTTTCTTAGATTCCTTATCTTTCCTTTCATTTTCTTTCTTTTCATTACAAAAATGTAATTTCTTTGAAAGCAGCTTAAACATACCAGAATAGCGTTTTAAATTAAAGGTGGCGGTCGCGGTTCATGAGAATCCCTGGACCCCGAAAGCTCCACTACGATTGAAAAAGATTCCCCCCCCCCCCAATTACCAAAGCTGGTTACGAGCCTGAGTATGATGGTTGTGATGATGATGATGATAATGATGATATGATGGGTAGTGATGATAGTGATATTACACAAAATAGTAATGCTGTATTCTACTTCAATTTCATAGCTTACATCTTCCACCCTGTTTCCCGAACCTCCAGTAACTACGATTAAATCTGAAAGTCGGACAAATCTTAATATAGAATTAGCGATTAAGGGCCAGGACATCCGGCTTCCCCCTCCCCGCAACCCAACAGAAAGCCGCAAAACTAATACAAAGGTAAATTTGAAAGTCGTTATGTTGTTGATCAAGTCATTTCCAAATCCATAAAACTACCAATAACATAGTCATAAACATATTATATTGATCGGTTTATGTTGTGATAATAGTGGCCCTCATTAGCTGACGTCGTATTCAGGTTCTAGCCTGCATTTCGTCACCTTACTAAGGAATGTTTGTAAGTGACCTTTCATTTTTTGAAAAGAAATATAATGACAAAATCTGAAAAAAAATTACAAATGGTTAAATTTATGTCATAAGAAAATTTAATAAATTCGATACACCTTCGTTTGTACCAGGAAAGTAGTGTTTTCTCTATTTTTTTCAAGAATTATAAAAAATGATTTTCATTAATCTTCTGAAAAATGTTACTACGTTACGAGCTTTCGTAATAAGGTGACTATTTATGCTTTTTCGCCAGTAAATATACTGAATGTTTGCACATCTAATCTTATTTAATTACAATTTTACTTATCTTTCCCCTATTTTCTTTCTTTTTACCTAACAAACAATTAGAAACTTACTAGAACACCTTTTAAAACGACACTTAGCAACGAGGATCTTCAGAGCGGAGTAATATCGTTCGAAGAGGACATCAGGAAACTACTTTTGTGTCAATCATTGGGAGTATCGATTGAGGTTAGTTAGATAGCCACGGAGAGGTGAGCGATCACGTGGTTTAGTTTTAGATTTAGTTTTCTTACTGGATATTTATGATATATTAAAGCAGACACAAACACACAAAACCAATATTTTAAAAAAATATTTTTAAACATGCAAGTGAATACAGAATGTCATCTGCTGTTGATTTTTTTCGTCCGATTAAATTGATCGAGGACTGCACTTCTCTCGACGGTCGTCGGCTCACGCGATTATATGGAGATCGCCACGCCACGACGCGCGGGCAACGGATCGCTTTTAATGACGATCTACGACTGCCACCGACAATCAGCAGACGGCACCGCGCCGTCTAGCGCTCACAAGGAGCGTAGTTGGATTCATCGGCCGACGGTTGTAGGACCGTCGTGCGACGCAGTGAGTGGCCGGCTTTACTCGTTAATTATTACTGTTGTATAACGATTTATTAAAAATTTGAATACAATAACGCGTTAATTATGGGAAGTTGTTAACACACAAAACATGTTTAAAAAGTGTTTGAGCATGCAAGTAAAAGTTCATCTGATGTTGAAATAATGGCGTCCGATTAAATTGATGTAAATGGACTGGAATCATTAGATGTTTCAGAAAATGACGGGTATTCTAAGTTGCCAGTGTTTTTAAACTTGGTGATTGTATGGTAAATCTTTTCCAGTACGTTGTAAGCCGCACTGGGCTTTAGTTTAAGGTGATGAATCCCGACACGATGGCGTGCATTTCGATACTTGGAGTATGTAATATAGGCCTACTATCGTACCCGTTATGGTAATTGATAATGGTATATCGCATTTGCCTATCTGTTAACATTAATTAAATTTATTTAAAAAGTTTGCAATTGATAATATTTTCCTTAATTACAGAACAATATATAGTAATTGCAGTAAATGATTTCGTCTTTTCTTCAGACCAAATTCCAGGCATCTGGGAACATAGCGATACCTGTATTCCACTGCCCCAGATGCCTCAAACACTGGGCGGTATACAACGTTACTCCCCACGGATGTAAACAAATTGAAAAACCAACAAAGGGGCCCTCGTTTCAAATCACTAATACAGGACATAATATCCTGCAGGTAAGTAGTTGAATAACCCCAAATATCATAATTAACGAAATGTTTATAGAGTTGACTTTTCCCGCTATGCCTTTTCTTTCCTTTCAGCTAAGGCCCGTCCGCTAAAAATTGTTGTGAAGCCCAAAAGAACGACAGTGTCAGTGTTCTTAACTTACACTTACATGTTTGAGGACATGCGCGTATTCATTCCTGGCTATCGATGATAAACACGTTCTGATTCGACAATTGTTAGGTTTTATTGACACCCGAAAAAGTTCATTCCAGCAGCTGGGGTGTTCTGGTAAAAAATGAAAATGCAAGTGTTCAACTTGTTTTTCAACTCCGTCACTTGTTTTTAATTATAGGCCTGTATTATTTTAGTGATTTCAGTCCTATAGATTCAAAATATTAGTAGTTCAGTGTTACAATTGCATTGCATATCAGTATAACACAAGTGTGCGAACTTGTGTAGTAAGCCCCGTGTTTGCACAAATATAAATAGATTTTTCCCTATTGAACAGACATTTCAGGCCATGGCTAAAAACGATCAACACCAGTTCTTGAATATGATTAGGTCCATTGAAGCGGACCCGAGAGGTATAATCCACGTACCTAGAACAAAATATCCACCGCCAGTTGCTTTAGGGAGCAGAAACAGTGAAATTTTACACGGTAAAAAAGCTGAGCTCGTACCCAAGAAAAGTACCGGTCCAACTGCAATCTCGTCAAGTGTGTCTGTAGTTGAAGGGTGGGATACTAGTGAGTTTGCAACAACTACCAATATGACGCCAAATTCCATGCCAAGTAGAAGGCTAAGTGATCCTAACTATGAACACGGTAAGCGAATACCAAAACTGTACAAAAACGTAATGTGTAGTTGGGAGTTGAGATAAACACACACACACAAAATATCTAACGCCAATTGCATTTAGGAGCAGAAGCAGTGATATTTTACGCAATAAAATAACTTTAAAGTCTAAGAAAGTGTTTTGAATTTGACCATAAGATTTACCTACAAACTAAGAATTAAAAAATATATATACTATATTATCTTTATTTACAAAAGGGCCTACACTACTTCAAATACAAGAACGACAAGCGAATAATACTTTGTTAAGCCAAAGTAGCTCAGGTAAACTTGATGCCACCAGAGGACGTACACATTTGGATTATGATGAGCGACCTAACACTAGCAAAGGACGAAGAATATACAGTTTAGACGGAGCCAGAGCGGAAAATATTGTCATCGAAAGAGAAAACTTGTTAAAACCAGACAGTATTTCCCATGGTTTGTATTGCAGATTTTTTTAAACTACAGTACTACACAGGGTTATAGTAATTGTAAATCTAAAGAAACCTTATAAGAGGCTCCAACCAATCACAAAACCCAATTTCATGTTGTAAAAAAAAAAAAAAAAAAAAAAAATTAAGGCACTATTTAACCGGTAGAACGCCTATTTATTTACACAACATAAGTACATTTTGAATTAAAACATCAAATTGCTCATTAAACGGATCAAATAAGTTATTAAAACTTCGAATGCGACACAGGTTAAAAAACATTCAGTTTCGCTGATTTGCATATTTTCAAAATACAAGCAATTTATTTTCAAAATACAAGCAATTTATTTTCAAAATACAAGCAATTTATTTTCAAAATACAAGCCAATTTAAAGTTATATCGTTTGTAAGGAATAATGAACCGAATTATTTATCCGTCTGTTATTTGTAATTAAAATATTTTCATGTTTAAATTTTTAGTATAGTCAAAATCTTAGTTAATTGCAAAAGACAGAACATCCAATTTTAAAAACTCAACCAACCAATACAAGCCAATTTAAAGTTATATCGTTTGTAAGGAATAATGAACCGAATTATTTATCCGTCTGTTATTTGTAATTAAAATATTTTCATGTTTAAATTTTTAGTATAGTCAAAATCTTAGTTAATTGGAAAAGACAGAACATCCAATTTTAAAAACTCAACCAACCAATTTCCATCTTCACCTAGCTTTTATGTTCTATGACTGATTCCAATATATTCGTTAAGTACGTGTATTAATGTAATGTTTGGCATCCTAATATTTTTCAACGTTACTTCATTCCAGAATCAGATAAAAATACTAATGCATTGTACAATCGTATGGTAAAACATCATTCAGACATCGAAGAAACAACTGGTCAATTTGCTGCGGATGGTACATACGCCCACAACCAGTTTATTCCAAATGGGAGGATCAGCCCGAATGGTCAACGGCAGAGCGGTCTACTTGGACCAGATGGACGTTTCTATATCAACGCACACTATGGTCCAGATGGCCGATTTTATGCCCAAGAAAGTCAGGCGTACGACGTGCAATTTTCACTTCCGAACCCAGGTCAAGTAGCTATGCAGAATAAATTTCCCAAAGAAAATCAAATTGAAGCACCGGGGAAATTAATACTTTCGCGGAGGCCCATTGGTTCATACACTGACGAAAACGCTCCCAGCCAATCAAATCAAGATGCAATTGAATCATCTAGTGAATTAACACAATCGCATGAATCAATTGGTCCATTTGATACTGATGAAAATGCTACCCGCCATTCAGATCATGAAGCAACTGAAGCACCTCGAACATTATTAAAATCGCAAGCACCCATTAGTAAATCGAGCAGAGATAAGCATATTTCCAGCCAATCATATCAAGGCGCTGAGGGCAAGATTCTTTATAGCGAACACGAACAAAAGGTTGACAAAAGTTTAAACCACAATGCAGAGAGTCATTTTATTCAGTCGGACTTTAATGGCACTTTTGTAACTCCAAATAATCGATCAGCGGAAGAAAACGAACACTTTCAAGAACATATTTCTACTGACGAACGAATTACAGTACAAAAACAATTCAACAGCTTACTAAATGACAGAAATCCTATTCAAAACCCAAAAGATAACTCTGTCGGCATACAAGAGAGTACCAGCGAACACAAAAGCAACATTTTGATATCAACTAATAAAACCAACAATGATGTCAAAAACCATATGCAGCAAAATGCTCAACCTAACGGGCATATCCGACCAATACAAGAAAAAGACTTGGAGACGAACATCGAAAATAATCAAGTAAATGTTATGGAAGTCGATGCTGGAAAAACGAGTAACAATACAAATGACGACGAAGGCCGTTACGCATGCAGTAACGAATCGTTTGACACTCTGTTCACGGACAATACAATTACAGGCGACAGTAATTCAGAGGCAGGTGCTGTAAGAAATCATCAACCACATCACCAAGGACATGATATAGCCGAAAAGGAAACTAGAAACAACGAAACTGTAATAGAAAGCAAACATGAGTTTAAAAATGAGATCGAACAGCGCTTAAATCCAAAACAGAAACAAAGAAGAGAAAGTACCATCAACTACATGGGAGTGAAAGATAAACCAACAGCAGTGACAGATTCACAAGAAAGTTTGAACAGCGTTCGGAACAAAGCAAAAGAAATGAGGAAAACTCTCATCAAGAATAAAGCTGTTAAGAATGTCACAGGCAAACCCGACACGAAGCCTGGATCTCTCCAGAAACATATGTTTGCAACACCAGAAGAATCACTGGCAAAGGCAAGTGCTGTGTTGGGTGCAGCCGGAAAAAGAAACGGTACAAAATCGAACAATTTGGCGCCAGTTAGCTCAGCCGGTAGGTTGCCAATTGGAAAGGCACCTGCAGTAACAAAAAGCCGTGAAGGTTCCCCAACGAAAAAATTTCGTGATGTCACCAGAAGCCCTACAAAATCCTCCGGATCATCAATCTCTAGTAAGGAGTCACTTTCGCCTAAAGAATATCCGCCGATAAATAAGCCAAAGTCGAATATCGTGATGAAGGATAGTACATTCAACAACAGACCAATCAGTTCACCTACGAAAAATGGACGAAAAGAAACGATGCCCACGCTCCCGAGTATTGCAACAGATTCTACTGCTACTGAAAATGCGAGTCCAGAGAAAAAACAAAGAGAGATTATAAAGAAAGTTGCAAAAAATAAACGAAAGACAGTTGGCCAAAGAAAAACAACATCAGAGACAAAAAGCAGCAACAGCATTAATCAAGAACCCAATTGGAATAAGGATACAGAGAGTGACGCATTGGAGATGAAGCCACAGTTAAGTGAATTCTCAACGGAAAATATGCAATCATCGGATATTAATATTATGTTTCAAGGCGATCTTTTACCTAAGTTAGTTCAGGAGAATACGCCATCATACAGAATGACCTACTCTACAATGCCTAAAACACTTGGTCAACATCCAAAGCCATTCACGCTTGTCACCTCTAGCAGCCATAAGATTAGTGAGACTGGCGATTCAACATCTAACATCTACAGTGATGCTATGAAACAGGGTGGTTCCACGACAATGGTGAAAAAATGCTTGAGTGTTTCATCTACAGCAACTACTGTATCATCCAAAGAAAGTGTTTTCGAATCTGTTAGCCAAATTTGGAAAAAGCATGATGATGAACTGGTAAAACTACGCAAGATGGAACACAGTGGCGGCATTTCAATTCTCAATTTTACTCCATCCTTTCGTTTCTCTTTATTTCCAATTCCACACCAATACGTAGAACATAACAACAGACTATTTGAAAGAGCTGGTAAAATACGTTCGCTGAAACACCCAAAAAAGTCAGATAGAAAAGTTGTTAAGGCCAAATATGTAACGTAAAAACAAACTTTGAACTGTATGATATCTGCCTTCACATTTAAAAATCAAATAAAACATAAATCAGTAATACAACAAGATATTTTACTGTTTATTTATTGCACTTTAAGAAGAATATATCTTACCCTTTGAAACTAAAATTTATTACAAAGCTAAAATCATTATGTACAGTGATGTATAACATGATTATATTGTGTTTTCCTTTTTAACATCAGCAAATTTTCTTTACTTTTTCAAAAACATTCATTAATTTACATGCATACTGTACAGTATGTTTACACAAAATTGCAGTGAACTAATGATTTTTAATTTTTAAATTGAAGGAATAAAAATATTCATAATAGCAGAAAAAGTTATGCTCAACCCCAAGCTATCAGTGTGATGCCCAAAGAAACCCTACAAGTGTTTGTATCTCATCAATTTTGGTACCTCACATAAATGCTTCTGAAACTAAATTAAATTCTGTATCTAGTTTGCTTCTCAAGAAATTAGGCCTACATTTCCTGCAATGGTTCAATATCAATGAGTTTCAGAGAATTATCCATGATTTGTTTTATCGCCTTCAGCAGGTGTAACCTAGCAAACATTACAGGAAGCAGGTGGGCTCTGGCCTCCTAGGGAAAAAAATAAAAGAATCTTGAAGATCTTGCGTTTGTCTATCCAGTAGCCTCATAATAATATTGTAAATGTGTCATGTATGCGGCTGATACAACACTTTTATGTTCATTTCCTAATCCCTTGAGCCTCCAATCAGAACTTAAGTCAAATTTAGATAATTTAGATTGTAAAATGTTTTGATAGGAACAAATTTAGTTTGAACATTAAAGACATTTAAAAGTTTATGATTTTGGTACAAATTTACTTTAAATAATTATGTAAATATTTCACTTAAATTTAATGAGAAATATATTGAATATGTTTATTGTTTTAAGTACCATGGTGTTTATTTTGATCCAAGTTTATCTTGGGACAAAAAGATAAAACAGGTGTGTTTACGGGCCACTCAAAGTATTGGTGTAATTCGAAGAATTAGATACTTCCTTTTAAGACGATTATGCTACTTGCCAATACTCTTGTTATGCCACTGTGATTATTGCAGCATTATTTGGTCTAATTGTAATGGTGTTAAATCTAATTCATATCAATATTCTTGCTAGAGTGGTGTTACATGCTGACATAATGACTCCAGTAAAGGATTTGATGGATGCAATGGATTGGAAAATGGTTAAAGATAAATGGAATAAACATATTTTAATTATGAAATTTAGATCTAAAAAAAAAATGATTTACTATTTTATAATTTACTAATACTGCCCATTTCAAAAATACACAAAATCAACTGCCCATTTCAAAAATACACAAAATCAATCTTCAAATATATTAATCATCCCAATCTGGAACAATATACAAGGAAAAAGAAAGTACTAAATGGGATAAACATATTTTAATTATGAAATTTAGATCTAAAAAAAAAATGATTTACTATTTTACAATTTACTAATACCGCCCATTTCAAAAATACACAAAATCAACTGCCCATTTCAAAAATACACAAAATCAATCTTCAAATATATTAATCATCCCAATCTGGAACAATATACAAGGAAAAAGAAAGTACCTTTACAGGGCATGTAAATTATGGAATGAGTTCACATTAGATATCCACTGCAAATTTGACACTTTTACGTTAAATATATTTAAGAATTTAAGTAACCACTTTTCTTGATTTTTATATGTATTTACTTTGTTACTTGTTTTATGTTGCATCTGGACCCCTTAGGAGACCAGTACTTATGTATTGAAAGAGTACTTCCAGAATAAAGAAAGATTTGATTTCATTTCATTTGATAATCATTGTTTACCTTTAATAGCTGCACCCTTTCCATGGATATGAAGTCCAAAATAAATTGAATAAAAGGCAATAAACCTGATACATAATACAGTAATTCTTATATAAATTATTTAAATCAATTAAAAATAATAACAGATTAATTGTGCTCCACATCATAAATTTAAAAAATGAATTTTAAGGGCATGAACTTTTCAAAAACTTTTTTTTTTATTTGAGAATATCAACCTGTTGGAAAAGGCTCATAGTTGTGAATGTAAAACATGTGGATAAATTATAGTCAGTCTATGAAGTACTGACATTAAACAAATGGATTGTAAAAAAAAAAAAATTTTCTTACGCTTAAAACATGGGTTCTGCTGTAGTAGGCACTAAGGTCTCGACTTAAGTTCACCAAAAACCCACACACCTGTTATCAAATCAAGAACAAAGAAGTTTTGACAATACTTATTGGTTAATGATGATTACATGCTGCAACACTTTGGAGTAACATTTTCCTGCAGAAAGACAAGTACAGTATGTATGAATGACATGGTGTATTCAATTTTATTTCATCCTCCAAACGGTTCTGTATGTTTTTTACAATGAAAATGTCAAAAGTTGTGTCTGTACAAAAAGTGGCATTACAGAGTTTTTCAATTGTAAAAATGGCTTAAATCAAGGAGGCACTCTTTCACCATTTCTATTTTCTGTTTTCATTAATGATTTACATTATGAATTTAACAATAATAAGTTTGATGGTTGCGGATTAGGAAAGATTAAACTTACGCTAAAGGCAGAATTATTATTTTATTATTATTATACCGTAAAAACTTGAATTGAAGCCCTGGGCTTCTTTTTTTTGTGGACTTTGGATGGGCTTCTTTTCGAGGCTACTTTTACAAAGTAAAGAGGGGTGGTTTCTTTTCAAAATGAATGCTGTAAATTTTGGGAATTAGTACAATAAAACAATAAATAGGGCCAATGTAACATCAATCTGCATCATTGAGTGTATCAACCGGCATTAAATCACCTAAACTACTGTATAACCAAGCATGTTTTAATTTATTTTCTTTGAAATTTATGTACAGTGTATGTACTGTAATATCTCGAAAAGAAACATATGCTATCTTGAAATGGGCATCTTTTCAAGGCTAATTTTGCAAACGAAAGAGGGGGGCCTTCAATTCGAGATGGGGTTCTAGCAATTCGAGACCTGGAGTTTGAATAAATTCCCTGTATGGGGAGTGAGACAGAAATAAAAAAAAATGTATTCTCTGCTGTTTATCTGTTAGCATGATTTAAAAAACATGATCAAAATAGCAATACCTTGTGTGTCTGTAGCTGAATTCGAGGACCAACTGAATGGAAAACTGGTTCCAACACCTCTGTAATGATGTCGGGGTATGGTAAGATGTACTGGAAGAAAAGATGCCACTCCTCTTCCTCTCTCAGCAGGTTAAAATCTACCTCTGATATATTTGGTAAAGATGGATAGAAGCCTTGGTTGACCCTCTCCTCAAACTTTTTGAATAAAGTTGACAATCTAGCATAGTTGTACATGACAAATACACCATCTTTACTTTGTGACCTTTCACCATCCACCTGCTGTCCTAAATCCAGCTTGATCTTCAAAGAAAAAAATGTAAAATTAGTAAAAAAAAAAAAAATTAGTAAAATTAACTACAATTTTTGTTTCAAAATAAGTGGAGCTGAAGCTTGCATTCTAAGGCCAACAAAAAAAATTCTTGTGTTCTGGCCACATTTTGGGAAAATGCAAAAAATGGATAGGTTGGTAGTAAAAGTTGTTTTTTTTTTCGACCGATAATGTGTTTATGCCTAAAAAGTAAATACAACAAAGACCATTTTTAAATCTGTATTGAAGCGCAAAACGATCGCATACCACTGTCGCATCGCCTAACTTCGCAAGTTAAGCCTATTTCAGTCTCTATAGATCATTAAAAAAATATTTTTCGTTGTAGTAAAAAATAATCAAACCTTCAATTTTCGAACCTAAATTTCGAACATTCTGAGTCTGTTGGGCGTGGCTAACACAATAATTTTTTTTATTTAGCCTAATCTCAGGGTCCCTGGCTCAAATCCTGTGAATCCCAAAGATTATTTCTCATGATGAAAATGTCTTAAGTCTCATAAAGTGACTTTCTTTATATAGCATCAAAAATAGAAATAAAAATTTTAGCTACATGTCTATAACCTTTAAAAATTGCAATCATTTTTTAGTATGCTGTGATTGCGCTGATGTACTCTATGCTGTGTAATTATCTATTCCTCTGTAAAATGGAATGTGTTAAAATTATTCTGAAAAATAGATGTGTTAAGGTCATCACAAGTTTGTGTTCCAACTACTTATCCAAATCAGGGAGTTGGTAACTGGACCTAAGTTTTGACAGATGAATATATGGCTGATAGCTGCTTAACAATGCAGTGTACTCATTGCATAAGTGGTAATACTGTAATTTCAATCAACACTAACTCACTTTAGCAAAACCTTTGCATAGTTACCAACTATGTGTGACTACACCAGTTGGCTGGGAGAGCAGGGGTGGGGCCGGAAGGGGGGGCCAAAAGTGGGGACATCGAGATAACAATACCCTTGCAAAAAATCTGTGTTCTAAATGCCTGAAAATAACCTCTGAGCCTGTTGGGCGATCACTTTGTTCTTTTTCTTTCTTAATATCTTTTTTCTTTTTTGACTTTCCAAAAAAGGGTGGGAAGTGGGGTTGCCCCATCTGAATCTGCCCCTGGAGAGGGTCCCTGGTGCTCTGACGATCTGAGCATTTAAAAGCTGTTCTAAAACGGTTTCAGGGTGTGTTTGTTGAAAATACCGGGTACGGTACATGAACAAAAATAGTTTTAATAAAGCCACGTACAATTTCAATGTACATTATGTTTAATTTGAACACCCAAAAAAAGTACACAAACATTTCATTACTTAAACAAACAAAAAAATGAATGGGCATACTGATCAATTTTTAGTAATGCGTAGTGAATTAAGTATTCATGTATAGTAAATACTGTCTAATGACTCAAATTACTTCATGACGATTTTTATATATTTAATAAAACCAATTTCTTCTAATTTTTAATATATTTTCCCTTGAATTTGTGATAATTCATTATCACGCATAGACCTGTGCTAAATGTGTGACAAATTTATGGTCACGCATGTGTTTCTGCAAAATGCGTGTTTCAACCAAAATCACTTCAAAATGCAGGGGTTGCCCCGCACGATGCGAAATGGTTGGTAACTATGCCTTTGACAAATCCTCTTAAAATCAATAATAAAAATTACAACTGGTCATCAATTTATCACTTTAAATATAAATAATAACAAATAATAATATTATTTATTGTTTAAATGATTTTGTGGAGTAACTTGTATTTAATAGTTTTAATTTATTTTTTTTTATTTCAACAATATTTAAAGTGGGTGACCCTTTTCAGCACAACTGATACGTAGGGGCCCACTCTGAAAACTCAAAAACAGATAAAGAAAGAGAAAATAAACAGTAAAGGTCAGTTATAATACATCACTGAAATAAAAATCCAATTGGAAATATTGTAATAAAGATAAATGAAGAACATCAATAAAGCGACAGCGAGTATCAAAAAATAATAAATGGGAATCGAATATGAAGGGCTTGAATCTGGTTTTAAACATTGCCAAAGACAGAGTGTTTTTCATCGAATATGGGAGTGAGTTTAGGAGAGCAGGAGCAAGGTAACTGAAGCTTCATTTAAAAATATTGATGCCATCTGGCTGGCTGTACATATGTCATTAACTTTTATTTAACATGGGTGACATTAAGGTACACTACTGTAAATTTGATTTAAATTACAATGCAATCACTAGAAACATACCTACTGGCAAAAAAAATGTATTTAATGACTTACTGTTTGTTGATGAGAAGTTCCAAGAAGCTCAAATTTCACTGATGCTGATGTCAGGTTGTTTATTCTGGCATCCCATAGTTTACCTAAAAAGATGTTGAACAATAGAACACACAACAATCAAAATTACTGTATTTTTTAATTGATGAGGCCCAACCCATAGGTCCTTGGTTAATATCTGTAAAATACATACTCTTCTGATTTGGAATACCTTACAGATAATGTTGTAATTGCCACTGTTGTAGTGGTGGGGTCAGCTGGGTGAAGCAGGGGCATAGGCTGGGATGAGAGGGATGCGGCCACACAGACGAACAGAGTATTATCTTAATTACAATATATTACGCTTATTTTGTCAAATCACGATACAAAATTAAGAACTCAATTGTGCCAAAAAATACATTAAAATACATCACAAAATGCTACAAACACCAAAGCATCTGAGGGTCTTTTGCAGCCCCCAGGCCCACAACGCCTGGCTAAGGGCCTTTGGCCCCTTTGTTACACCACTGATTCTTTTTAGTTCTGCATTTACAATTTTCGCACCCCCCTCCACCCACCAGATGGGAACCACTCTGCGCCCCTGGGAAGGTAGGGCATTTGCCCTTCCCCAGTCAGGCAGGCCTGGACCCTCGTCATTTGACGTCATGACAAGGACGTTAGTTAAAAAATATATATATAATTTTCTTATCCAAATAACGTTATTTTGATTGCCAATCCCTAATATTGTGGTCTAAAAGCACAATTTGGACCATACTAAGCCATAAAAACTCTAGTCTGCCCCTTGGTTCAGACCCCGTGTTGGACAGGTTGAACCCCTTGTCTGCAAATTTCTGAAGCCACCACTGCAATTTTGTTATGTGTAAATCTTCTCTGGAGTGTCACTAGTCCAATCACACACGCACAAATAAACGCGATATACAAACTGATCTGACAGCAGTGAGGAACCTATTAGCAAAGTTCTGCTAGGGCTTCAAATTTTTTCTGGAGTCAAGTATGATCGCCAAGTAACATATCAATTAAAAAACGAAGACTGAACACAATGTACCTTTTACTGTGTCTCCATGTTTGACCTCAGATGCTTTCCTCATTTGCAACTTCCGTAGATTATAAAATTTCTCAGCGGTCATTTGCATTTTACTGCCAGGTGGTCCCATGTTCTCTGTATGTACCTGTCCATGAACCAGGTGGAGATGTTGGCACCTGTTTGCATGCTGAGAGCCAATTCTGAACAAGATATCTAAACACTGTTGTTTGTACTCTTTGTCATGACTGGTGACATGCAGTACAACAATATCATCCTAAAAAATGAATCAAAGAAAATATTTTGAAGAAAAATTACAAGGTAGGTTTTAGTCAGACAGTTTAAATGTATTACAACCCTATTTTTTAAATAATAGTATCATGTTTAGTACTTTATTAAACATTCGTTTAATGGGTAAAGAAAATATGGACATTATTTAATGGAGTTAACTGAAAATGAAGGGGTGAAATCTTGTACACAATGCATCGTCTGACAATCAACTAACCATCGACCGACAACATATCCTGCCCTCCCCGTACAACGCCAGTCTGCTGACCATCAGCGACTGTTGAATGGATCATCAATTGAAACTAATTCCTGACGCAACACACTGTTGCCGTTGTATACATAATAGCATCATTTTTCCATTCAAATAGAACAAACTATACACCTTATCATCTCATTAAAATTTATTTGTTTGTTCCACCTGAATGTGCACACTTCATCCCATTAAAGTATTGTCCTTTTTTTAAAGAATAAGATAAAGTGAGACTGAGTCTGTAAATTTGGATGAGATTTCCAGAGTGAAACCAACTTTGGATAGAAAGTGGAGCAATATACTGCCAAAAATTAGATCGTCTTACCGCTGGTTTAAGAGAATCAACAACTGATTCTATCATTGAAAGTTCCTGAAGAAGAGTTAATTCTGTTCCCATTTCATTGACTAGTAAAAGGAAATAGAAAGAATTTGGGTTAGTGACAATAAATCTGATTTGTGTTTTTTCATTATATGACGCATTCATGTTTCTAACTTGGTACACCTCAAAACAAAGTGTTATCATTTGATTAAATTTGTGGTAAAAGAAACATGAAAAACAATCTTACAAGTACATTACTAAATTAGTTTAGACTCTGTTTAGACACAACGAGTTACTTCAGTCATGCTTCAATGATGAGTGATTACAAATACGAATATTTTGCGCCAATGCTTATGCTAGCGTTACGTTAATCGCCCCATCTGGACATCTCGCTAGTTACACCAGGGATTAATGTACGCCTGGTGTTAGATACGCCTGGTGCATATCTCAAGTCTAAACGTAGCCTTTGTTTAGTTTAGTTAGTATTTTTATATAGCACCTATTCCTTTAGGTTACAAAGCGAGGGTTTGAAACCACAACCTCAAGCTTGGGAAACCAAACCTGGTGCGCCACCTGACATGGATGTATTAATATTATTATAAATTTTTCTTATTAAAATAGGCCTATGTAAAAGTGTCACATGCTACCATCAGAAACAAAATGTTTTCTTTACCTGATATTATTTTTATATTTTTAATGTAATTCTTCCCAACTTGTTTCTGTTCTGTTACAAAGTCTTTCACTTCAAGTGAAATATCAGAATTTCTAAGTTCAACATCTTCTGTACTGACACCTCCTTCAATAGTTTCCTTGATTGGCACTCGGAACTTACTTTCTGCTAGCGAGTCCTTAAGCCGCTTATCAAATTTTTCTAAATTCTGTTTATTTTCTTCAGGAATGCTGAAGCTGAAAGCGGTATCAATCCAAGATGTTTCCTTAGCTGTGGGTTGTTTTACACGATGGACACTGCGCCTACAAAATGTAATCAGAATTCAATTATATTATCATTGTGGCACTGTGCACTATCTACTGTATACTAATAATACCCAATGTTTGTCAGTCTGTAACACGTCAAAAATACACAACAATGAAATCACTAACAATATCAAACACGGTGTAGATAAAAGAAAGTGTTTAAATAAACTGTACTTGCGCTTCGTCCGACAGAATAAATGTCATATTTAATGATTTTACATATAAATATATGTATCTATATACTGATAGTAACTGTTATTGTTGTGATGGAGTAGACAATAACTGGATTTGCGTCAGGGGAATCAAGTATAGGTGTAATTTTACAAGATGAGGTAGGGCAAAATTACACCTATACCTCTGACGCAAATCCAGTTATTGTCTACGCCATCATATTTTGCATGGGACAATACATCCCTACATATTTTTATTTATTGTTTATTATTTGTTTATTATTTATTTAGGCACAAAATACATGTGCCAAGGATTGTCAATAGCGAATATATCACTGTCCTACTTGTAGGTGGCAATCCCTTACACAAGACAAACATACACACACGATTCTTTACACAAACTAAATCTCAATATGAGATTTAGGGAGTGGAGTTGTTTTGGTTGTGAGAAAAAATCCTGAAACACTGACAGGAATTGAACCTAGGGCCCTGGGATTGGAAGGCAAGCATCTTAACCACCAAACTATTCAACTACACTCAATACATCGGTAACATATAAGGACATGAAGGTCTTATGAAAGATGTGATAGAAGGAAAAATTAAAATTGCGCTTCGTCCAACAGAATAAATGTCATATTTAATGATTTAACATATAATATATATATCTATATACTGATAGTAATTGTTATTGTTGTGATGGAATAGACAATAACTGGATTTGCGTCAGGGGAATCAAGTATAAGTGTAATTTTACAAGATGAGGTAGGGAAAAATTACACCTATTGATTCTCCTGATGCAAATCCAGTTATTGTCTACGCCATCATATTTTGCATGGGACAATACATCCTTACATATTTTTACCAATACATCGGTCATATATAAGGACACAAAGGTCTTATGAAAGATGTGGAAAAATTCAAAAGGGAGGATGGAATTATGACATTGGACGACATTAAGGAAGGAAGGAGTTACCACCAGATGAAGAGGGATGCAGAGAACCGGTAGTACTGGAAAATGCCATGAGAGACCTGACTTCAGCAGAACACTAATGACGGAAAACATCTTTAAATCATGTACTAACCTCAATGATTTGAGCATCACTTCTAAATGATTGCAAATGAGCAATGCCCTCAACTGGGTTAGTGTCAAAGCAGAAGCATCATCATGGCAGACACCAGCTGCATAATTAAGTACCACCTCCTGAATTCCATTAAAGTTCTTGCAACCATAGCAACTTCCTTCATCTTTGACGTTTTGTAAGACTTTCTTGAAGGCATGTTGCCTGCAAATTGATATGTTAAGTGACCCTGAAGCTGATATGTAGCAGGAACTCACAGGGAGCACCCACTTCTGACTCTCTTCCTGAATGTTTGACATCATACTCCTCAACTGTTTTCAAATAGTGCAAACATTTTTTACAATTAGGGCACATAGAAAAAACTGTTTATCACTCCCACCCACATAAAAAATTTAGGATATAATTGATGCGGGAATAAAAAAAAAAATTGTTTTTGCCATATCATTTATTTCAACAGCTTAAAAAAACAATGCAATTTCATGACTGAAAATAGATTTTCTTTAAAAAAATTTTTAAACCAGTTTATATACTGTACAATATTTACAATATTCTTGCCAAATAAAAACAGTCCCTCCCTCATCAATTAAAAAAAAGCAATATTCTATTGCTCCGATAGAAAAAAAAAACCGCTAGCCCTTATCACTTTTTCTTTTTAAATAGTGATATTAAATCTAATAATTTTTTCTATGGCCCTTAGCCAGGGCTTGCCCTAACTTTTTTTGTTAACTAGTCCACTGGGCTAGTTTACTAGAGATTTTACTAGCCCACAGACTATTTTACTAGCCCACAGGCAGGAGAACATTTTGTTTCAAAATATTTATTAGCGACAATTAAAGCCCCATTCCCGGCAAAATTTCAATTTTTAAGAAAAATCTAATTTTTGTATAATGTTATAAAGATTTATAAATATAATACGGAATTGCTAGTTTAACTGAATTTAGACATTCCTAAGAA